TTTTTGAGCATGGTTTTTTTTTTCTCAGTAGGAATTTTGATATGAGTGATGGGGGAATGAAATTTGTGTTTTTCTCTATTAATGGGAAGTTGATGGTAGTTTCTTTGGTTGTTTGTAGTGATTTGGCTTGTCATATAGATGGTTTCATGGTGGTTGTGGCTCACACTCATGTTCTTCAGGAAGGTCCTGTCACAGGAAGGGCAACTGATGTTATTGTTACTGCAAATACTGCTGCTGAGGTGGCCTTGAGGCTTGTTAGGCCAAGAAAAAAGGTAATCAATTTTAAGAATTTTTTCTCCTGTATTTGAATTTTTGTATGATTTGATTTGGAATTTTCAACATGTTGCCTCTATTAATTGTATGTTTGGTAGATAGGTATAAGGTCATCACTATATAAGCAATCTAGCTTAGTAAAATTAGGTTGCTTCATGTGTATTGTTTGAAGGGGTTTCTTTGCCTAAATGTGTGCCTTGTGGATTTTGATCTCTAAATGATGAAAAGTATCATGGCTATGGATATACTCCAATGAAGCTTTATTGTCATAGTTACACTGATAGAGGTCATTCATTATTTTTCATGTGTTGTCTTGCCGATTAAGCACATCATTAATCTTGGGAACTCCTCTTGATGTCTGTATTGTTCTTTTATCTTCATTTTAAATGATATCATGCATTTTCATAAAAAAGACTTGATATTTTTGTTTTGATTGAAATTGTTTCAATAATAGGCTCTGGTAATCGATTACAAGAACTGGGTAATCGATTACCAGAGAACCTTTTAATAAGTAAATTTCGAACATATGATTTTCATTGTCTGGTAATCGATTACATGTATAGGTAATCGATTACCAGACTATTAAAACAATAGTTTCCTCAAATTTAGTCATCAAACAGTTAGCGAGGGATTCATCTCAGTTAGTGACGGATAAAATCCGTCGCAAATTGTGACGGATTCTAGTCAATTATAGGCATCACAGTTTGTGACGGATTTTGTGTCATCACAATTTGTGAGGGACTCACATACCTCTCAGTCCCTCTCAAATAGCGAGGGATTTAATCCCTCTCAAATAGCGAGGGATTCTTTCATCACAATTTGTGAGGGATTTTGTGTCATCACAATTTGTGACGGACTCACATACCTCTCAATCCCTCTCAAATAGCGAGGGATTTAATCCCTCACAAATTGCGAGGGATTTAATCCCTCACAAATTGCGACGGATTTTTATTAATTTCTAAACATTTATTGTTAGAAATTAGTGACGGAAATTATATTGTTTGTGATGCCTTAATTCCGTCACTAATTGTGACGGAGAAAATAATCCGTCACTAAATATTTTGTGACGCCAAATTTTGTGACGGAATCATTTCCGTCACTAATTTATTTGTGACGGATTTTATCAAGATTAGTGACGGATTTGTTCCCTCTCTAATTTTAATTTTTCTAGTAGTGTCCGCTTCTCCTTCTCCTCCTGAGCCTCCACATTTGCTTCTCCTCCACTTCTTCCTCTGCGCGCCTCCGCTTCTTCTTCTCCTCCACTGTCTCCTTCTCCTCTGTGCGCCTCCGCTATTTTACTCCTTCGCGCGCCTCCGTTGTTCTCCTTCGCGCGCCAACTCTGGTTAGGGTTTTTAAATTTGACTTTTTTTTTGTGATTCATTGAATCATTGTTAACTTGTCATTTGTGTGAAATTTTGTTAAGAACATTTATTATTAATGTAATTTGCTATTTTACTCTTTAATATGGAGTTAAAATGTTTAATTATTATGTTATTTTTATTTATTTATTTATTTATTTTTTATTGAGTAATCTCTTACGAGTTTACGATACGAATTTATGGAACTTCCACGATATTACATAAACTCTCGAGATTGACAACCTTGTTTACCACAAAATCATCCGTCAGAAATTTTTTATGGATTAAATTGTTTCTAGCAGTTTTTTTTTTATGTCCCTTTTTTCAACGGATGCAAATCCGTCGAAAATTATCTCTTTCTGACGGATATTCCTATTTACCAACGGATTATATCTGTTGGTAATTTATGTTTTTCTTGTAGTGATTAAGAGAATTGAAGTCGAACCACTTGCAACCATCTTAGCCTATAATGTTCAAAAATTCTTATTATGACATCACCCATGTTAGCATCTCGTACGCCATCATAAAAGACAATAAATTACAATTCACTGACAAAAGGTTGAATGATTTCATCCTTAACTTAGGAATCAAGCATTAATTTACATTGGTAAAACATTCCCATTCGAACGACCAAGCAAAAGTGGCCAATAAAGTAATCTTAAACGAATTGCAAAAGCACCTCAATAGCACCAATGGGGCATGGGTTGATCAACTTGCAAAATAAAGAAAATTCAAAAACGCCTCAAATTGCAAAAAGACATTGCGAAGATTTTCAATAGAGGAGAAAGAAAATTCAAAGTAACCTTTTCCAATGGAGATCATTCGCCAATGAGCAATAGGACTTCACAAAGCATCAAGCTTTGAACAAAGCTCACCAAAAGAAGACCATGCATATGGTTCTTGCACTTATCTAGACTAGCCTTGTACTCGTCTTCAGGGATGGTAACAACAATCATGTCCCCCTTTAGGCATGGCATTGGGAGTTGGCTTAAGGGAACATTACATGCATTGTGTAGAGTCTATGCAAAGGATTTCTTACGAGGAAATTTTGGCACTGCCTTCGCACACATCCCCCTTTAGGCATGGCACTAGGAGTTGGCTTAGGGGAATATTCTATTGCACACATTATGTAGAGTCTGTGCGAAGGATTTCTTATGAGGAACCTTTGGCACTGTCATTCCTGGAATCGTATAATCATCAGACTCAATAAGACAATTCCATGGAATTACTATTGAGGAAGCCATGCAAATGGTAGTGTGATAGCACAAGCAAAACCCTAGCACCACAAAACCCTACTAGAGTCTTCCATCCCTTTCTTCTTTACTTTCAAGCCTCATACTTAATTTTGCTCTAATGGAAGAAATTTTATGGAACTTCAAACAACTCATATTTTTTTTTATTTTGACTTGATTATGATATCTAAAAATTTATAAAATCATTTTTAGCATTATCACGTATTTAAATATTAATTATAAAAAATTCATTCAAAATTATTTTTATTCAATTTCTGAAAAATTAAACAATGAATACAACATGGCTGAGTGGTGGAGAATACAATTTGGTGGTTCATCATACAAATGATGAACTGCTTGAATGAGGACTTTTTCCTGATATGATTGTCGATCAAAAATGGAAAGCCCATTCCAATAAGCGTGACTCCAGTGGTCCATGTTCCTAGTACCTTATGCTTTTTTTGATCATCTTCCTCTAATGCCACTGAACCCTCTCCTCTCCCCTCTCTTCCCATTTCTTTTTTATTTCCCTCTTTTTTCCTGTAGAAGTGTTGATATGGATTGGATCCAAAAAATTATTGTTTAATTCTAAAAAATAGTTACTTGATGAAGGAATTTAAAATTTTTTTAAGTAACTTTCATTGCCATATAAGGTTGCTCTAATGGAAAAGTTGTTTGAAGCAATTAGAGCTTCATTGAAGCATCTTAATAAGCATCACTTGTTGGAGATGCTCTTAATTGCTTCACTTTCTATATGTGCTACTTAAACTAAAATAAGTATATTATTCATAAATATAAACATATTTTCCAATAAAAAAAATAGTTGTGTATGAATTGAAAGTATTTTCATGAAATATATGAGTTGGCACAATAGTTTCACATTAAAAGCTTATATTTTGTGTGGACAATTTATATATTTAGTAGATAATTTTGTATTTGAGTTATGATGTGTGAAAAGTGGGACCTGTGACTCAGTGGACCAAGAATACATGTGGCGAGAAAAAAAAAAAAATTCCGCGTGAAAACTATGGGTGAAGTGTCAGGTCAGTTGCTAACACATGGCCCTACTAAGTGACATTTTGCATATTCCACCAGCCTACATATAGAGCTACTCCTAAATTAGGCATCCATTCAACCCGCATTTAGCATCTTCTCTTGCATCCATTTTCTTTCCCTGTCTCTACCCTTTTTCCTTTTCATCACATAAAATAAGTTTTTCTTTCAAGTTTGATCCTCAAACACCTAGGGAATTGTTCCATATTTTTCTAGCCCTTTTTTATATAATACTCAACATATCATCAATATTGTTTTATTCCCATGTTGGTCTTTTTCTTCATCATTTTTAGTTTCCCTCTAAGTTGTTCCTCTTGCCTGTTCTATTAACCTGGTTCTATTTTCTCTTTTTGTTTTTTACCTACAACTTGATTCCCTTCAACTATGTTTACCATATCATCCACAGCCAACAACAGCATCCATCAGTTTCATAGTTTCAACTCTGAGAACAAGAACAACAATCACTTCTATGATCCCACTTTCTCTCCATACTTGAGTGGCAATGAAGGGACCGTTGTAGGAAGGCTTGGTGAACCAAGCCAAAATCTCAGTCCCTTCAACAGCAAAAACAGAAAGTCCCCTCTTCAAAAGCTAGAAAAGAAAGAAGAGAATGGAGAAATTGGAGTATTTGGGGCCGAAAAGTACTTCAATGAAGGAGAAGTACTTGAAACTCCAAGATCTTCCAGCATAGCCACTCCAAAGTACCTGCACCAGAGAGATGAACAAATGACTCTAGCAACTAGAAAGCACACACTTCAGTATGGAACTCCAAGCATTCGCTCTGAATCAACTTCCAACAGCCAAAGTGCACTACTGAAGAGTGGGATGAGGAATCCTTCAAGGGACAGAAAAGACAACAAGGGTCAAGCCAAGAGTGTTCTAGCTGGTCTTGGATTCAAATGCTCTTGTTCTGATAAAGATTCTGTGGATGCAGGTGAAATCAGTTTTAGAAAAACTGCTACTTATGGTGCAATTCATGGCAAAACAACAAGAAGAAAGCTGGTGGATATTGCCGCTCTAGATGCTAGTCATTCAATTAAAATAAGTAAGCCTAACGCAGAACTCTTGAAAATCAACAATGTTTACTTCCAAAAGCAAGAGAGCTTTGGGGTGGGGTTGAACAGCCAAAAGAGCAGTTTGGCCTTCTCACCCTTGAGTTCTACCTCAGGAAGCCAAAACCATCTTGTCAAAATGCAACTTCAACTAGAAGAAGAAGAGAAACCAAGGAAATCATTGGAGGTGTTTGGCTCCCCATTATTGAACAAGAAGATCAAGTCCTTGAGCTTTGATAGAAGGTTGGTTAAGCCCTCAAGAGATGGTACTCCTAGAATGGAGGAAATTGATTCAAACTCAAACTACAACATCAATGATGCTGCTAGTGATGCAAGCTCAGACTTGTTTGAGATTGAAAGCATCAAAAGCAAAACCAACCCTTTCCTTGCAAGGCAAACATCAGATGCTGCTTCCACCTTTGCCAGCCCCGCAAATGGTTATGCACCAAGTGAGGCAAGCATAGAGTGGAGTGTGGCTACTGCCAGTGCTGCAGTCATGTCAGATTGTGACGAACAAATGTCTGAGGTAACCATAAGGAGTCCAATAAGGACATCATATACTCCTTCAAATGGGAAACCAAAATCCACCAGAGAGGTTCATAGAAGACGCCCTAGCATGTTGTTGGGTTGCAAGAGCCACAAATCTGTAAGAGTTGCTGGTGATGCCTTCATAACATATGAGAATCCAAGTTCCACACCAAAAGTTCGTAGCAGGACTAGTTCCTCTCAGGTGGCAAGGTTTCCTTCAGAGACAAAACTGGGAGATTTTGGTGCAAAACATGGACAACAACAACAACATCATCATGCTTATGCCACACCACCACTGCAGCACTCTCACTCACCACATGCTTCAAAACTACTATACATTTAGAATTAGTTTGATATTTTTGTTTGTTCTTTTTTTTTTTGGTTTTGGACTTTGTTCAATTATTATGAGTATACGGATGTGTGAGAAAGGAAAAGAGAGCATCACATGGGCTTTAAATCCCCACGTCGAAAGTAAGGTTAAGGTGTCTCTTGTGTAGTACTACTACCATAGTACCATCCCTCTTATCAATCTTCCTGTATTTTTCTGTTGGCTTTGATATCATATATATTTTTCCATTCAGTATATTTGCTGAATCTTGTTTAAAAAGTGATGAAAATGGGTGATTTGTAGTCATGCTTTTGGTCTCTTAACATAAAGAAAGGGATGTGAAAGGTGACCTCGTATTGAAGACACAAGAAAAAAGCCTCTTCCAATGATTCAAGCCCTCTTGTTGTATAGCTTTGATTTTATGCATTGTGTTGGATCTCATCCTTCGATAGCATGCCCAGTTATAGAAAAGTTCATTTAACATACATGGAAACAGTTTCTCCTTGTTATTTTTCAAGATATTTTTCTTAAAGGACGTACAACACATAAATAAAAAAAATAAAAAAAATAAAAATAAAAAATAAAAAAACAGTAGACCTCGCCAAATTTCTTACTGTGTTGTCGGCTATTTGAAATATAGTACATCCAATTGCAACCTACAATGACGACAAAAGAAAATCATAAACTAATAGCACCTGCAAAGTCCTCATATATAAATTCCCAAAAATTAACTTAAAAAGCAGTGATTATTTTTACTTATACATTATTTTGACTATATATATAATTACTAGTATCTAACAAATACTCTTCAAATACAATGAAATTTACATGCACTATATGCATTTTTCTATTTTATCTTTTCAGTCTTCTAAAAGTCTGCTACACTGAAACATACTATATAAATACTAGTAATTTCTTCATCTATTTTGCAATCAATGCAAAATTCAGGCCAGGACTCATTTGAACTATCTGATTGTAGCGGCCTAAATCCTCCATGAAAGGTGTTAAGTTTTATGCTCACTATTAATATAATTCTTCCATTGATGATATGAATAATACTAATAATGACCTTATAGCTGTTCAATAGAGAACCTTCAAGGCTCGAGAATAGAATGTCCTTACAGTGACATGCAACTAACGACAGCGACACCTATATATATGAGAACCAAGGAATTTCATTTTGTGCATTAAATTCTAAACCACCTCTTAAATGGGGTGGTCCATCAAGCTAATAATATTTCTTGCGGCATTGGTCAATGCCCCAGACAGTACAAGATATGTATTACACATTGGAAGGCTAAAAATTGTTCAACTTGTTAGAAATATGTGCATTACTGCATTTATATTGGATATTGACTAAATATATGATGGCATGTATGAGGTCTCTGATTTGGCTACAGAAGCCTTTCGTGGAGCTAAATTAGCCTCTAAATTGGCTACAGTTCAGAATTTGAAAATATCGACGACTAGAAATGTTTATCCCGGGGCCATGGTCTAGTAATGTAATATCTTCTACATTATGAACCAAGAAATTTATAAAGGTATATTTGTTCCAACATAAAAGATGAATGCGACCTATCTCTATTAAAACTATAGCCACATATTCTTGCTACACATTAAAAGTCTTTAGAATGTTGATATTGATGGATGGCATAATGTTTAACATTTTAGAACCAAGCAATAATGGCAAAGAAAATATACCTTCAGCATTCGTTACTAAAGAAATTATAAGAGAACTGTTTGAACAAATTCATGGATCTAATGCAGGGTTTGTTGCATGGAATTGGATGCAACTAAATAGGCTATTAACTAAATTCTTGAAAAAACAATGTAAAAAAGATACAGATATGTCGTATTTAATAGAAGAGAAAAAAATTATATCCTTGAGTGTAGAATATCTTTAAAAATGTTAATTTGTGAATAAGTAAAATTAAAGGTTTGTTTGATTATTATATCTTTTTTATTCAAGTATCTATTCTTGTAGTCTCTTCACCTTACAACTCAGGACTTGGGACTATGTATCCTCTTAAGTTGTCGATCGTCTTATGATATGATTCAAGTATTATTTATTGTAGTCTCTTCAGTTGTATATCCTCTTAGGCTAGTGATTAGGGTAAGTAGACATACGATTTATACAAAGTACGAATAACACATATATATGGTTTATAACTTGCCGCTATTCATGAATCATAATGGCCCACTTAGCTTAAAGTGAGTCTAATAGTTACTAGTTGTACTAGTGAACACCCCTTCGGCCGGATCCTAGGCCGAAAAGGGAGCCTAAACCGACAAAGACCATACCCCGGATTACCCCCTTCGGCTTGGAACTTGGCCGAGTACCCCTTCTCGGCCAAGGAGATACCAGGGTACTCTAAAGTGAACAAGAACAAATGATCACAAGCATCCCATCGGGCTCGGGTTTGGTCGAACACCCCTGTCACTCCGAAAGACGGACAAAGAAGCATCAAGGTGAACACCCAACACCCTTCGGCCTCAAGCTTGGCCGAATACCCATTTGGCCTCAAGCTTGGCCGAATACCCCTTCGACCTCTAGCTTGGCCGAAGACTCAAAAGAAGGTCAACTTATGGAGGACACATGGCAGATTAAGATATCTATTACACAATGATTACCACGTCTAATTAAGAAGGATTAAGACTAACTAAGACATTACCCATCTCCCAAGACAGAAGACCCACCAGGCCCAAATATGTCACTATAAATACACAGGTGATGAGACATAAATGAGGTACGATTTATTCCATATAAAAGCATTATTTGCTCTATACCAAATACTTACTTGATCGTCAGAGTGTCTTTGCAGGTACCCTCCCTACCCTTCGGAGACAGTATTCGGTCGGCACCGAAGACTTAGAAGATCAAGAGGAAGGAACGACAAGAGGAGTGTTTCTACGCAGGAACACTAGCTAGTGATAGTTTTAATCTTTCGTGAGCCGAAAATCTTTTGGTGGGGGTTAGCTTGACAGTGAAAAAAAAATCATTTCGAGATTATAGGAATGGGTGATTTAAATATAAGGGAAAGGGCTCAAGCTGAATGACACTAATTTTTTTCTAGACCAGTAAACGTGAATGCTCTAGTGATGATAGTCATTTTTCTCTATTGATCGTAATATTTTGGTTAAAACCCTATTTTGGTCCCTTATAATCTTTTTTTGTTTCAATTTAGTCCCTCATTAATTTTTGGTCTCAATTTGGTCCCAAATTAATTAATTGGTTTCAATTTAGTCCTAAATTAATTAATTAGTTTCAATGTGGAACTTCCGTCCAAATTATTTAAACGGAGTTAACTTTTGGCCACGTGGATGAGAAAATTCTTTTTAATACACCTGGACCCGGAACGGCCCGTTCTGAAACCGGAACGGGCCGTTCTGGTTGCAAAATTAAAACACCACCAGTGAAGCAGAACGGGTCGTTCTGAAATCAGAACGGGTCGTTCTGCTTTCAAAACGGACCGTTCTGAAATCAGAACGGGCCGTTCCAGAACTGTGAATAAAATATTCTTTACTTAATTGTGTTTTTGATATTATAATTATGCAATTTTGATCTCTAAGATTTTAATTGAGTAATTTCAGTCCTTAAAAGATTATAATTGTGTAATTTTAGTCTCACAATTTTTAATTGAAAAATTTTAATCTCTCAAATATCATAATTGTGAAATTTTAGTCTTTCTCATTAAAAATTTAATAATTTTAAAATTTTAATATATATATATATATAATGTTTTAAAACTATATAATTGTTTGTTTATTTAAATTAACGTATATTTTTTTTT